GGTGGGGTGACTTGTTTTTATACAGATGATTATTTTTATTCATATTATTTGCTTTCTCCATTTCTCCAAACTAAGATGTTCGGAACTATTTCGGATAGCAATTTATTTCTCATATCGGAGCTACTCTGGGCAGTTATAGGCGAAAATAAATACTTGTAATATAATTATGCAATGTATTGTAATATATTTATGTATATATACTTATATACCTATATCATTCATAATAATGAAAAGTCTTTTCTGCGGGTACCCACCCACCCTCCCTTCCTTGGTCCATTTCGTCCTTTGAATTAAGCATAACATTCAGTGTATCCTGATATGCTAGAGCATTGCTGGTTTTCGTAAAAAGTGATTGGTTCATTTTCTACAGTAGCGAACTCAATATCATACTTATTCCATAAACAATATAAATGCACATATGTTCTAGTATCAGAAAGCATTCTCGTGAATGTTATGGACTAGTGGCACATTAAAGCTGGTATCACACATCCTTTTATATCAGACGAACAACTATTATTTCAAACAGTGTTTTGCCTGCTTTGCCATTGAAAGAAAGACGCATGATTTTTCTTTTCTTTCACAAAAAACTGTAAGCTGTTCATTTTCAACAACTAATCAGCTATCAGCATCGAATCCCCCGTCATCAACCATCATTTGTATTGGAGAACTAGTTTTCTTTTACATGGTAACCCCAAAACGATCCGCGATGATTGGCTGTTTCATATCGTGTCACAAAACAGAAAAACGGTTCTTAAGAGTTGTTCTGAATGTCTGATGCGACCTGATACCAAACGTCGCTACACTTGGCGACATTTTGGTTCTTTCCGTGTGTAATTTTAATCGATGCTGTATGTAGCCGTAAATGTAATTCGGCCCTCATATGCCTTCTAGTAATTTCGATGAGCAGAAAGTAATACAAATATCTTGGCGGCAAAGTTGAAACTATATAAGACCGGAGAGAATGTTAGTTCCTGAGTTAATGTTATTAGTTCAGTGCGAGTTCGGAATACTGAGATATCTCCGGGTTAGCTTCGCTCTTTAGATGCGCTTTTCAATGCCTTGTGTTCAACGTTCTTACTAGTTTGAAGTATATCTACTGATTGTACTCTGTGATGCTGTGAAAAGCTGTACGACTACTTTTGAGGAAACTTCCAGAACTGGGAAGTGTTTTTGGTAAAATCAATTTTACGAAGCTATCATCGGTTCTGTGTGCATTCAATCTTTACAAACCCGTATGCACGCAACAATATCTTTTCTCTCCGTTCCTTTTTTTTAAAGCAAAGCTTGTGTGTTTTATCAGTCATGGTAGAGCGTATCTACTCACGGAGGTTGGATAACGTTTTGTAGGACTTGATAAGGAAGGCTGGGGCCCACCAGCGGCCGAGCGGTAAAGTCGCTGAACACTGGTAGTTCGGTCCGAGGTTTGAATCCCGCGAACGGGCTGGCTGCATCGGCGTTTTCGTGGTTTTCCCCATGTGTAACGTGTATACGAGCCAATTTCCCTTAGAAAGTCCTCCACGAAGGCATCCCTCCTCTTAGGCAGATAGCCCTCGAGGCTTTGCCATAATCACACACACACACTAAGGAAGGCTGGTTATATTTACGTTTTGTATTGGAGGAAAACCATAAAGATTTCATTTTTCGAATCGAGAATTTGTAATTTTGTATTATCAGAATTTTTGACATGACACAGAAGCAAGTATACATTAAGAAATACAAACGTTTGATAGATATTCTGTATTGTCTGTATTATAACTTAACGCTTCTGTATAATACTTTGTTATTTGAGTGTTTTTCAAATTCCTTTGAGTTGTATTTGAGAATATTTTATATTATATTACAATGTTTGGTTTCGTTTTTGGATTCCCGCACCTGTCACTATGAAACTCTCAAAATATAGAGAAGACTTTAATTGATATAAACTATTAAAAGAAAGAGGGTATTTGAAGTTCGAGGTCAGCTGTTTATTTAATAAAATACAATCTTTGAAGAATGGATTAGGAACAAAACATATTTCCGATCCACTTATCCAGTGTTATTTTTCTCCACTGTTTCGATCAAGCAAGGTTAAGCTACATTTAATAGAAAGCGAAAAAAATTTGAGTCATTCAATTCTGCAGCTGAGTTTCATTAGCTGCAAAACCATGTGACTTCCATGACCAACTCTGGCAGCGCTGTTGTAGTCGATCGAATGACTCACGAAAGGTGATGGAGGCGGATGTTGAGAGGTGTTTAAATAGTGTTATGTCATCTTCGAGTATGGTGTTTCTTTCTGTCAACCTTTTGTTTGTGAAGTTCGGTTTCTTTCTTTGTTTCTCATCTGGTGATGAATCAGGAGCGAAAACACAAGTGGCGGAAATCAGGCATGTTGCCATATCGGCTCGTAGGCTATTTATGATGTGCTGCTGGTTTTTCTGTGTGGAAAAACGTTAGGGATTTCCGTGGAATACAAAAGGTAACGGCTTTTGGTCTCATGTTTCAATATATTTCTGTTAATAAATGTTAAAATTGCACATAATGGGCTTTTATTTCTGTTTGTGCCTAATTAATTTGTAGAGTTCTTTACTCTTATTCTACTAAAGTAAATGTCGAGGAACCTACTGAACTGTCAAGCTACTTATCGCTAATTTCAAATAACAGGAATCGTAAACTCAAGAAGGGTTAATTACCCTTTATTTCACTAAAAATAAGATGAACAGTCGGCCTATACCCATTTTTTCGTGCATTTCATCAAACTTATTGGATTGAATTAATTCTACTTCGTCGATAGCGCATACACATGCACTCTTTAAAATTCACTCACTATATCTGTTTACCATAGCCACACTCTGGCCCTAGGTTCTCACTTAACAGCGTTATATTTCGTTAATTTTTTAACTCAGAATGCACAAAATTTATATCATCTTAAGAATTAGCTAATCGTTGCCACATGTTCTGTTCAAATACTATAATAAATATAAAACGATGTATAAAAGAAATTAAGCAAAAAACAACAGCAACAAAAATGAAACAGTTTTTTCACACACGATTCAGTATTTCTCATTCAATTAATTCAGTTCTCATTTCGCAACAAGGGAAAAATACATTAAAACTCAAGCTGTCTGTATTGAAAATAATGAAGTAAATCTTAAACACTTTTTTCCTGGAATAAAGTACAGAAAGGATTAAGCTTGATTTAATTCGCAATAATAAAAGAAGGTGTTATTGGGAAGCTTACTTTCTCTAGGCTGGCAACACTTCTACTATTCTGCTGTTTCAAATGTAACAAGCTATGCCGCCATGGAAAAAATTATTAGGCTTAGCGTCACTTAAACAAATTTTAAATTGTTGATAATTCTAAAAATATTGCATACAGATTTACTAAAGACATTAAAAACCTTAAACGGAAGATAAGAAGAGCATAATTTAATCATTTTTAAAGCAAAAAATGCACAATTTACAAACATATAAGAATAAAGAAACTGAGATCACTGATTGCAACCAAAATACGAAGTGCACATCTACATGTCATAGCAATCCTATTTATAAAATTTAAACGTTCTGAGGCTACTCGTTTTTGAGTTATGCGAAATACGTACGTACGTACGCACAGACGCCACGAAAAATTCTCTTTAAAATTATTTTTAAATTAGTTTTACAATTTTTTTGGGGGGAAAAGAGTCCTTTATCCTGTCTTTACGTACAGATGACACGCGAAAACATTGTTAAATTGCATTCGAAAGCGGTGAAAATGAGTATCTGCTTTGAATTGTTAAATTGCATTTGATAGCGGTGAAAATGGATATATGTGTTGAAATATAATGCCTGAAACTTTTCGCGATTACAATACTTTCTTTTTTACTTCGTACAAGGAATAAAAATAAGAAGTAACATGGAACTAACTAAAAGAGACTTAGCCGAAGCTAACACAACCTAACGTAGTTGGGCCTTAGTTTAAACTAGTCGTCGAATATCCAGAAGGCACGTAATATACGGCCAACCGTAACAACTTCTAAGGACTCAGCCGAAGTCAAACACGCACTACTCAGGATTCCTAGCTCTCTCTCTCGAAGTTAGTTAAACCTTCCTTAAATACTACTTCTTACTCATTTGCATTCAACGCGATTCTAAAAACTCATTCTAGTAGGGAGTTTTTAAGTTGAAACAAGGAACGGTAGGAAGGCACAATTAAATTATAATAACTTATAAAATTAAAATATACCTTACAAATTAATCACCTAACTGTTCTTAATAGAAGTCTTGAAATCAAAGCGCGAAGCATTATTTTTGATACTATTGTCGTCTTCTTCCCGTACCCGCTTCTTTCCAATTAGTATTTCCATTCGACTGAAAGGATGATATGTTGGAGGAGTTTTAATTTGAAACTTGCATTAATCATTGGCCTTGTGTTACTATTGGGAGGCATTCACAAAATTTCGTCTAGATGAATTATTTTTTCTTGAATGAGTTAATTATTTTGATTTTGTTAATAGATTATTTATTACAATTATTACCTAAGTAAAACTGAATTTTTAAAATGATTTGTTTCGCTTAAGCAGGGAATATGTTGCTATTTATTTTAAATTAACCTTTTGGGACATTTCTGATTATTTAAAAAATTTTTTAATTGCAGTTCAAATTTAGCTAAGTACAAAAAAACTCAAAATATTATAAAAACTCAATAAATATTTAATAGAATTCTATAAAGCACCGTTTTCCTATTAAATTTAGCCACAGAATCCTTTTATATTTCGTTCAGCTGTTAAAGATTTTTAGCGTAGCACATTAAACAGACGGGATGGGGGTTATATTTTCTTATTAAAGGTCAAGTGTCTTTATATTGTATCTACGTTTTTCTAGAGCAGAAAGCAGCCGTATGTTTTACGCCTCATAAATAAATAAATAAATGTCTCTTTTTATGTCTCGTAAATGTCTTGTATGCATTCTTGTCACAGGAAAATTATAAAAGTAAATGATAGGGTTTAGAATAATCGCTTTTTTTTTCTTCTTTTTTTCATCAGGAGTACAAAACGTACGAAAAACTTTGTTTTGTTTCCAATGGAGGATACTAGCCATTAAACTCCTTGGCCACTACTAAGGCCAGAAGTGGTGGTCTGTTGATTATGGAGGCACTTAATAGGTGGGCCACCTTTGCCTCCTGTGAAGGGACAGACAGTTTACATCCATGCCTTCTGCAGGATTCGAATCCAGTTCCTTTGGTAAGGCAGACAAAGTCACCAACCACTTTGCCAGCTGAGCGGCAAAGTGCATAGAACAATGGTATACATTTTAATTAGCGAAATGTAACATCGTCTTGTTTTGGGGGAAAGAAATTTATCTGGTGTGATACGCGTTAAACATACTCTATGCTACTAGCAATCAGAGCATTAATATTTAGCAGCACAAGTAAATAGTCTGTAATTGAATAATTATATTAAAAATTTTAAAATTGGAATATAACGTTTACAAACCACTCAGATTCTGTAAATGCATTCCGCACTTTTATTTAAGATTATTACCAATTAATTGGACAGTGTTTTTTTTTTTTTTTTTTTTTTTTTTTTTTTTTTACGTTATAATTTCCACACACGGATCTTTTTTTTTTTTTTTTTTTTCATTACATTAACACGTTTAAAAAATCTGATGTCACCGCATGACTTTCGTTGTATGGCCTGTTAAATTGGACACAACTTTTTCTGCATTTCATTTAAACTTATTTCCTCGAATTTCATTAAATATATACAGATGGAGGACAAAATAATGCGTACACCTGGGGAAAAATATGACGTATTTCACACCTGCAGTACAGCCGTGCCACCTGCAACAGAAATCTGCCAACTAGTGAGAATGAAGAGGAAGGTATCAGTCTCTCAACAGCAGTCACCTGCGTTGCATGCTTAGATCGAACTGTCTATGAGAAGTTGAAATGTCAGACCAGTCAGATTTCCAAAGAGGAATGATAGTTGGAGCGCGTTTAAGTGGAACATCGGTTACGGAAACAGCAAACCTTGTGGGGTATGCAAGGAGTAAGGTATCAGCCGTTATGACAGCGTACACGAAAGAGGGTAAGACGGCGTCTTCAAAGCACAACAGTGGCCGAAAGTTAAAGCTGGCTGATAGGGATAGAGGGGTCTTGAAGCGCATAGTAGCCCGAAAGCACAAGCAATCGTTCATCCGAGATAATATCCGAAATGAAAAGTCATCTCCAAGACCCCCAGTCATCTCCAGGACCCAGTTTCAACAAAAACTGTCGAAAGGGAACTTCATGCTGCGAACTTTTATGGCAGAGTGGCAATTCGTAAACTAATGCTTTCCCAACCAAGCAACTAATGCTTTCAAACGACGCCAATGGTGCAGAGATCCCAAAGGCTGGCCTCCACAGCAGCGGCAACAGGTAATATGGTCAGATGAATCGTCATTCAACCTATTTCAGACGGCCGGACGCGTTTATGTCTGCAGAACGACCAAAGAAGCGTTTCATCGTGACTGCCTCTTGCCGACTGTGAAGCATGGAGGTGGTGCCATTATGGTATGGGGTGCGATATCTTGCCGCGGTCTTGCCACTTGTTATTCTGCATAGGAGGATCACATCCAATCACTATCTAAGCATTATAGGGGATCATATACATCCTTTTGTCCAGACTGTATTCCCTGGGGAGCGACCGCTTTTTCAAGACGACAACGCCCCTATGCACACTGCTAGGGTTTATTCAAGAATGGTTTGAAGAGCATGAAGATGCAATTGAACATCTCGCTTGGCCCCCTCAATCTCCGGACTTTAATATTATTGAACATTTATGGGCACATTTGGAGTCCAAACTTCGTTCCCGATTTCCACCTCCATCCGGACTTTCAGAATTAGAGACCGCTCTGCAGGAGGAATGGCTTAATATTCCTTTAAATATTGTCTATGACCTTTGTGCATCTATCCCACGTCGCATTCAATCTGTACTTCAGTCAAAGAGTGGTCCAGCTTCATATTAATAAAGATTTTCCATTATTTCACAGGTCTTCGTATTATTTTGTCCTCCATCAGTATTTGCCATTTAGTGAATTCAGTTCTACCTTTGCGGCAAAACAAAAATACATAAAAACTCAAAATACTTTCATTAAAAATTGTAAAACACAGAAAACCATAAATCAAAAACAGTTGAAACATTAAAAAAAAAAAAAAAAAAAAAAAAAAAAAAAAAATTAGGGTTTCTACGCAAAAACGAGCAATTCGAGCAGCGGGCAAGAAGGCAGATGTTTCGATGCACAAAATTTAAAGTTTATTTTTGGTGGCAAAAAGACATTGAAGGTGCAGAAACTGACTTCATTCACTATTCTACTGAGTTTCAAATGTAAACAAATGGCGGTTCGTTAGGCTTAACCTGCCACTTTTAAGTTGTTAATAATTCTACAGCTATTGCATGGAGATTAATTAAAGACATAAAAACCGCATAATTAATAATAGAATCACCCTGTGTGTATGCATGTATGTATATATATAATAAATTAAGAGAGGTGATAGTACTCATCCAGATGAGCAATAATTACCATAGAACATAGGGTCGCATTGATAGGCAGAAAAGAATAGTATAAGAATTCCAATCTGAATTTACAACGGTATTGGAAGGGCGAATGAATCAGTTTTGTGACAAACTCACACAGAGTGCACAAAATGGATAAAAACGAAAACTTGGCGTTCGAGTGTTAATTCGAACTCCGACTTTAATGGCAAACACTCAAATGCACATTTTTGGTTGGCAAGGTTTCAACCTCGCAAACGATTGCAACAAGTTAATTATGTAATCAAGGGCTTAATATTATCAACTAACTCCAACGTCCGCTGCATGCCGAGATTAGCTTGAAGAGCTCGTGCTGCGTTCCAGCTGTCAGAACTTCGTGTCCCATAGAAATGCGCTTCAAGTAGAATGAGCGCAGAGTAAGTCCAGGAAGACAGGATACAAGATGGCTGAGAGAAAACTGCTATCTTGATATCAAGATAGTTCCCGCCCACTAATAGGTAATTTCCCTCTAATGATTTAGATATTTAACTTGTTGCAGGCATTTGCGAGGTTGAGACCTTGCCAACCAAAGATGTGCATCTGAATGTTAGCCATCGAAGTCTCAGTTCTAATTAACTCTCGAACGCCAAGTTTTCGGTTTTATCCGTTTTGTGCACTCTCTGCGAGTTTGTCACTAAACTGATTGTACAACATTTGGCCTCTTTCATTCGCTCTTCCAACACTGTTTAAGTTAAAATTGAAATTCTAATATTCTTCTTTTCTGCCTCTCTGAGTGGAATGCGACCCTATGTTCAATGGTAATTATTGCTCATCTAGATGAGTACTATCATCCCCCTTAATTTGTATAAGTAATTTAGAACCACCCTGCATGTAATAATTTTGATACGTAATTGTGCTGGCAGAGTTGCAGTACAGGAAGATGACGTCGACACAAAAATGAATTTTGAAGAAGTTCCAATCTTTATTTTCACGCCTATAAAATTATCTTGGTAGATATTTATGCAATCATGATGAATTACAGTAAATCTTCTGTACACCGAATTAAAAAATAAGACATAGGCATCTTAGACGGGGAAGCGAAGCAGCGTGGATGTTGGCGTGGCGGAAGCTAAGGAAAGGAATGTCGTAATTCACCAGCGGTATTTATACCAAAGTACATGCAGGAAGTACTGTAAGCTATGATTGGTTAATTTTAGGTTGTTTTATAATCATGGAAGGATGACTGGTTAATTTTAGGTTGTTTTATTATCTTGGAAGGATGATTGGCTAATTTTAGGTTGTTTTATAATTATGGAAGGATCTCGAATTAGGGAGAACAGGTGAATTTAGGGGGAAAGCATCAAATCTAGAATCGTTAATTTTGAGGTCGCCAATTATTTTTAAAGCAGCTATTGCATTTTCTGATGTTTTACATGTATGTTTATATATATATATATATATATATATATATATGTATTCATATAATTTCGGTGCAGCCGTTTATAATCAAAAGGGAAATACATGACTACATGTTATAGCTGTCCTATGATAGAAAATTTCAATGCTCTAAGGCTATTCGTTTTAGAGTTATGCTATATATATATATATACGTACGTACAGATGTCACGAAAAAATGTCTCCTGAATCCATTTTATAATCTGTTTTGGGGAAAAGAGACCTTTATTGTGTTCTTACGTACAGATGTCGCTCAAAAACATCGTTAAGTTTCATTCGATAACGGTTAAAATGGACATTTCCGTTGAAATGTGATACCCGAAATTTTCGCGATTGCAATATTTCCTTTACTTCGTACAGGAAAATAAAAATCCGGAGTTGTAAAATTTTTAATTTTTTTAAACATTCGCGGAAAAATCTGTTATTTGAAAAGTTTTAGAAAATTCCCGGAAAATGCGTGCCCCAATTAAGTAGCTGCCTTTGTAATTTGTATATTCAGATCCCACTGGAATAAGGTCCAGACACGTTTTTTGAAATTTAATTTTAACGTATTACATGATGCTTAGGATATGAAAAAATGAAAACTCGACAAAATGACTTATTGTAGTGGTATTCAAGATTATAGTCGAGCGTTTATTAATGGAGGTAGTTACCAAATTACACTGCAGGATATTTTGAAATTCACGCTCACTTACGAATGAAAGAATTGTCGGTTTTTATTTCGAAAGTATGTCGTGCGAATGTATGCCTGGGAAAAGCAAAATTTTATTTAATTAGTAAGTATATAATATGAAAGAAGCCATTCGTTTATACCACCGAATAGTGGAATATTTCAAGATAATTAGATAAGTTTGATGTTTTTTGTGCGGAAATTTTTATGTTTAAGAGAAGTTTATTATATATTTTTAATGCGTAATTGCCTCTTAAAAGGATGTTACGGAAAACGCTCGTCATATTTTATTCGTCATATTTAAAATGCAGCTTCTTTGAATGTTGTAAGAAATTTTAAAGAAAAATTTTCAAAAAAGGCTGCAACATGATACTAAGAGAACTGGATTCGTTAATGAGCACCGGATAAATATATAATATATTAATTTATGCTTGCATTTAATTCGTTTATAACTATGCTCTAAACTGGCGTTTTCATCTAAGCGGTCAATAGATTCGTGTATTCCACAAATTCATTAGGGTAACATAAGTGGTTTAGAAGGTCGGCAGGACTACTTCCTATGCAGATGAATAACCGCAATCTCATTAAGCTCACAAATAATGTGGCTAGAATTTAATAATCAGGCTAATCTGTATGTAGTCAAGTTAAATGAGAATTATGTAGTAGTAGTAGTAGTTCAGTAACAATCTGTGCGTACGGTGTTTGCCACTTCCATGAGCCAGACATTTATATGACGACCGTAACATCTTGAACATTAGCGTGTCTATATTTGGGCTGTCATGCGTCATACTATAGCTTACAAAAATGATTGCAGATTCGCCAAAGTTAAGCAAGTACAAAAAAAGTTAAGCATTAAAGTTAAG